AGGTAGTATGATATCTTGGATCTACAATCACTGTTCAAACTACTTCAGAAAGATCTACAACCATTTACTCGTTTTTCTGTTTGACATTCATGGTGTGCTATTCAGTTTTTTGATCTGCAAGAATTTTTGAGAAATGAAGTCTTTTCTTTTTGCAGACTGCACCTTTGGATCTTGAAACTGATAGCTTTTATGAAGTCAGAAGGGGTCTTGTAGAAGGTCTTCTAGATAAGATTGAGCATGGCATGGCGGAAGAGTTACTTATCATGTCATGGGAATCACATGTGGGAACAGTCTGTAGAGGAGTTAAGTGGGACAAGCATTCTCTGTCTGAGCTCCGAGCAGCAGTTACATGCATCGGAGGTCCTTGTCTTGCATCAATCTGTCGGAATTTGGCTCAAGATTACAGGAGCTGGTCTAGTGGAATGCCCGACTTATTGCTGTGGCGCTTCCATGATAACTACAGAGGTGAAGCAAAACTCGTTGAAGTGAAAGGCCCGAGAGACAGACTTTCTGAACAACAACGTGCATGGTTACTCTTTTTAATGGACTGTGGCTTTAATGTTGAGGTATGCAAAGTGAGTCATTCCCCAATATAAATATAGGTAGGGGTGGAATTTGCATGGCAAGCCATCCAATAAGAAGATATGGGTTGGTTAAAGTTTATAAACAATTTATGACACTCTTTAAGTAGAGATGATAATTTATAAAGCATCGTGAATATTGTCCATAATTTGACAGTCTTCATCTTTCTACACTCATGTCAAGAAAACCATTAGCATAATACCAATCAAACTAACATAAAAGCTGACGTCTACAGAATGATGTTGGCTTGTACAGTATATTCATTTTATGAGACAAAACAGGTTTAATATATCTATATAAAACATAAAGTCTAGCTGTATCCATGTAAAAAACACTTTCATGTTTTAAAATATTTAATTACGCAAGCAAGGAGAATTTTTCATTTTATGTTTTTCCTTAAACAAATGTAGTATATATATATATTCTATTTGGATATGATTCTTTGAGCATCATTTTGGTTAAGTCATCCAAGAAATATTTTAAAATAGGAAAAATGAAACCTAAGAAAATTATCATGGAGAATAAGATGATATAAAATCAGATTCTTCTGCAACCATTAGTATATTAAAATTCTTTTTTTCACACTGCTTAAACGAGGAAACTAATGCTACAACATAACTATTTACAATTTTAATAGAAAAAAACTTATGTCATTAACAAAGTATAATATCTATATGTGAGAATGCATACACATTGATTTTACGTAAAATATCATCGATATATAGAAGAAATAAACATCGTGAGTACCTTTATCCTGTAGGTAACAGACTATTTTTAATAAATAAAGAATAATATTTGGTTAATTGAATTTAGTTGTGATAATGGTATAGCCCATAAGATGATGAAATTTTACTTTAGTTAACTTTGGTTAATCCCAATTCCTAGTAGGGAATATAATATAAGGTCATGTTAGGCTGTATATGTCACAGAATCAGCTTTTGCAATTCCAATTGGAAAATTTTTCTTCATCCACTACAATCCAATAGATGCACAAATTAAAGGTAAAAAAAATATCCGCACCTAGCATTTATTCAAATCGATAAATTCATAAATATATATCTTCATTAAATCAATATTCATACCTAGTTTCATTTAAATCTATAAATGCACAAATATAGATAATTTATATTTTCACTAATTCATGATTTAATACAGACACTCTATATGCGCAAGTATTAATCAAAATTAAATACTACATATCCACGAGCGAAACTAACTTGGGATAATAGGGGTTCATTAACCGAATCCTCTTTGCCTGAAACTCACACTTTATATCAAAGCAAAATTATAAATGTCGAATTTTGTGAAACCCATGAGCTGCCCACCCACAAGAATCTTCCCACATTTTTGGGAGAATCATCTTATGTCATAGAATCCACTTTGAGAGGATCAAATCAACATGTTTCTTGATTCAATTTTAATTTATTTACTTGTAATACTTCACATAATAACATATATCTCTTCGTTACATATATCTCTATGTTACATTAAATATATTACGAATAAAGAATATATTTGTTCATCGATGAGTGAAAATTCATCAAAGTCAGCTAGAGAAAAGGGATATATAACATACATATATTAGCTAGATTCTCTCTTAGCAACATGCATGCATTTTGATTAATTTAAAAAAACAGTGAGAGAAATTAAAGTAGATTCTCACAAATAGGAGTTAAAATGAGTTAGCTTCTACAACTTAACTCTAAATTAAAAGCTATAAATATGAGTTGAACTTTGCATGCATATCAATACTCACCATTCTAAGAAGATATACACAATGTGTAACAAGAGTTGCAAGTCCAATGGAAAACAATTATGCCTTGATTCAACTTGTTGTTTGCCTCATCAAGTGACAAGTGAAAATAGCTCCAATAATATTGGAGAAAACTCTAAGGATTTGGAGAGTTTGGCTTATCATCAACATGTGAAATCCAACACCACTTTTCTTCATGCTGTTATCAATATGATTGGAATGCTTATAGGTCAGTTGTTTCCTCTCACCTTTTATAATACCTCAAATAGACCATCGTCTAACATTTTCTCATAAGATTTTTAGTTTACTCAAAACACAGTCTGAAAAAGATTCATAAATCAGCAGAAAAATAAAAAAAGGTATTTGGCTATTGCTATAACTTCACTAACAAAATTGTTTTTTTTTTCTTCTTATATATATAGGTCTTGGACAACTATCAACTCCATATGCTTTAGAAAATGGAGGGTGGATGTCTTCAATAATTCTTATAGGACTTGGAATAATATGTGCTTATACTTCCCATCTACTTGGAAAATGTCTACAAAAGAATCCCAAATCAAAAGACTATAAAGATATTGGACACCAAGCATTTGGAACAAAAGGGAGAATCATAGTCACATCTTTTATATACTTAGAAATTTTCATGGCCCTTATTTCTTACACAATTTCTCTACATGACAACTTGTCCATTGTGTTCATAAACACAAATTTTAAATTAAAAGGGATTTTATTTCACTTATCTACTTCACAAATATTAACAACAATTGCTATTCTTATAGCTATTCCTAGCCTTTGGTTAAGAAATTTTTCTTCTATTTCTTTTCTTTCAAGTGGGGGAATTTTTATGTCACTTTTAATATTTGTTACTGTGGCATGTACTGCTATTTTTGGTGGTATAAAAGCTAATCATCAAATACCATTTCTTCATTTACAAAATATTCCTTCAATATCTGGACTTTATATTTTCAGCTATGCTGGACATATTGTTTTTCCTAATATCTACACAGCAATGAAAGACCCTTCAAAATTCACCAAGGTATGTAGTATTTATTTTTTTGAACTAATAATTAGTTGGCTTTCTTTTTCATGCATCATAGTCTTCCCATATGTCATGTTGCTGGTGGGAGGTGACATGTGTTCTGTGGAATTAGTCGAGGTGTGCGAAAGCTGGCCTGGACACCACCATCATAAAAAAAATAATGACTAATTAACCATCCATCATTTTCTCTTTTGTGTGGCATCACAATTACTTAAAAGAAAAGTTATATAACATGCTAGAATAGAATATATATATATATGTACTGCCTAATTCTGTTGTACTAATTAATTTTATTTTTATTGTGTTTGAAGGTATCAATAGTGAGCTTTTCATTAGTGACAACGCTATATATATCCTTAGGTTTTATGGGAGCAAAACTCTTTGGTCCACAAGTGAGTTCACAAATAACTCTAAGTATGCCCCATGACCAAATCATCACAAAATTTGCATTATGGGCAACAATACTCACACCAATGACAAAATATGCACTGGAATTTGCACCAATTGCTATTGAGTTAGAAGAAAATTTGCCATCTTCAATGAAATCTAAAGTCAAGATGATGATAAGAGGAATTGTTGGATCAATTTTGTTACTAGTAATCTTGATTTTGGCCCTTAGTGTGCCATATTTTGAACATGTTCTTAGTCTCACTGGCTCATTAGTTGGTGTTGGGATATGTGTCATTTTCCCTTGTGCTTTTTACACTAAGATTTTTTGGGGAGAAATTTCGAGGATGAGTTTGATTCTTAACGTTGTTCTCATCGTTATTGGTGGGCTTTTAGGAGTTGTTGGAACTATTTCTTCTTCTAAGTTGTTGGCGAAAAGTCTGAAGAGGGCTCATGACTCGACTTAGAAAAATTGTGAAATACGCTCTTGCTCATGAATATATTGTTATAGCTAATCGTCAGACTATGTTATCTTCAAGAAATGATTGTATTATAATATCAAGTTGAGGAATCAAAGGAATGTTACTTTGATAAAAGAGTGTAATGAATAAATGAATAAGGTATATATTAAGAATCTTATTAATATAACAACTTTCTACTATGTTTCTCGATTGGACTTAAGTTGACATAATATCTATTTTAATTTGGCCTTAACTGACAATTGAACACTCTAATTTTGAGGATGAACATTTAGACATGACCTCAACGCATCTTCACTGTGTCTGTTGAACAATCCTACTTATAAATGATCATTTAAATACCTTCAAAATTCATGTCTCACGTCATCGAGTGTCCACTAAACCCCGTCCTCAAAGTTTGACATTTAAGTTATATGCATTAGCCATGTGATTTCTTTCTTGGTCATACAAATGCAATTTAGCTGAGTATTTTATTTTTAAAAACAAAGAATTTTGTGCATACGTACACGTCAAACCGTGTTGTATTATGTGATTCATATGACTTAGTCGCTGGCTGACTTTAACATTTTATTATTTTTCTAAAAAGAAATGATTAATGTGTCCTCATTAAGAAATACAGAGAAATTTATATAATAGCTGTCCCTCAAAATAACAGTCAGAAAATGCATATTTTTATATATTAATATGTGATAAACATAAAATATACATATTTTATATAAAAAATATATATATTTAGCTAGTGAATATAATTATTTTAGACGACGACCAAATGTGTAACTTGCCATTATAAGAAGCCATCTTGTCTATACACAAACCTCAACATTATTTTCTGGTTCTTTGGCCTTAATTTAGCCTCTGCACCTCTTTGGATTTATCTAAGGTACTCTCACTTTTCTTTTTGACATTGTACATGTTATAACTTGTAACACATATAGTAATTATACTTAGTTCAATGGAATTGCTTGATCTTAAATTTATGCAACAAATATCGTTAGTTAGTCTACTTGGATCTTGAGTATTTACTTGTAAGAACAAATGTTTTGGTTTTGTAATGGATAGTTGCAATTGGTCAAATATTTCTTACATTGAACTATTCCTACAGGGAGTATGGCTAGCTATTAGTTCAGTGGTAGAGCGGACCCTTGATAATTATTGGAATGTGAGGTATTTCATTGTTCTTTTATTTAGGTACAAAAAAATTATATAAAGGATGCAGATATTTGTCAAATCACTCACAGGCCAGACCATGACACTAGATGTGGAAACCTTTGACACCATTGATAGTGTGAAAGACAAAATCTATGAAAAAACAGGGATAAAAGCAGAACATCAGAGGCTAATATTTGGTGGCAAGCAACTGGAAAATGGTACTGTGAAGGATTATGACATAAAAAAAGAGTCCACTCTTCATCTTGTTCTTCGCTTGCTTGGTGCAGCTACATCTTGAATTTTTTTACACAAGACACTATGATTTTTGTACTTTTTATTCAAGCTTTTAAGTTGACTCAGAAATAAGCAGATGAATAAATTACTTGTGTAAGGTAAACATGGCTGAATTTGAATGAAAAATTGCTTCATCATTGTGTTTACTACTACTTGTCTTCAAATAGTGGTGTTAAACAAGTGATATGCTTAAGGAGATGTAAGGGATAATTTAGACAAATACAAATGCTAGTATATAGTATTTTTCTCAAGGGGTGTGCAAAAATTTTAAAAAGACAGATAATACGAACAAAACGAAACCTTTTTGAAGCAAGATTGTTTATCTTTTACAACATTCCCAGAATCTGAGGAATAGAGTGCTTTAACATACTATGGGGGAGTCATCCCCATAAAATTACTCTTTTAGAAAGCAAAACTACCTAAGCTAGAAGTTAGAACTTAAGGGGAAATCATCTAACAAAAATATTCGTATATTCTCACTCATCCACGAGTTTTACTACTACGAATGTGGTTCATGTTATCGAATAGAAGCTTCATCAAAAGGTACATCTCGGCTAGGGGACCATCAGCCATCACCACCATATGAGTGCTTAGTATGTGGTCTATGATGTTCTTCCTGATATTTAAGTGTCACCAAATGGATCATCTGTTCTTGGAGACCATCTGTCGTCTCGTGCATTGTGTGATTGACGACGTTCTTCTCTGTACGTTGAAGTTTCATCAGATGAATGATCAAGACTGGGAGATTTCATGTCATGCCTGTCTCTGCTACTCTTTTGGCGCTTGCGAGAATGTCTGTTTCTGTCCATTGAACTCCTATCCGATGAATGATCATGGTTGGGGGACCTTCGATCACCTCGTTTCCTTCCATGAGTTCTCTGTCTATGAGAGAAATCTTCCTTGTCCATGGACCTCTCCTGTCTTCCAGATGAGCGCTCTCGACTTATTGACCTGTCCTGTCTATGAGAATGGTTGCTTCTTTTAACATGCTTGTGAGAAGAGTCTCTAGCATCCTCCAAGCTTCTTGCTCGCCTGGGTGGTGATGGAGCCTACACAGGATTTATTCAAGTCATCAGAATCACTAAACGGATAAATTCAATTTACGTCCTGTATACCATAATTATCCAGACTCAACTTTCTCATTTTGACTTTACCAGTACTTTCTCCAGAGGATTAAGAGTCACTTTTGTATCAAATAATTTCAGTCAGAGAACTTGACAGCCATGGATAATGGTAAGAGCAAAACGGTTTTCAAGAGATCACCTATCTCTTGAACAATACGGTTTTCAAGAGATCACCTATGTTTTCCCCAAAAGGCCAAAACCAAATGTGCAAGAACTGGATTACCTGAAATCGTGACATGTATCTTCCCTCAGGAGGTGGTGGTATACCAAGCCTCTTTAAATCATCCCACGGAATTGGCCGTCTGTTTCCAGAAGAATCCTGAAGTTAGCGAAAAATGCATATACAAAATAGTAGCATGGAAAATAGTGCAATAGGAGAATGTCTTCAAGACAATGCCCTGTAGCAAGCTAAGGCATTAAGCACTGTTCAGACCTATGGAATGTTCCATCTTTTTATTTATTTTTTCCTCAACAAAACTGTGTTCCCTTCTGTTGAGGCACAACATAATCTTCAGAGTCGGAATACCAGTACTCAACCACATATCAATAAAAAAACAAAAAACAATAAAATAGAATGACAGGAAACAAATTGAGAGACATTGGGATTAATATCTAGGTCTGGTTACTTCATACAAGCAAATAGAAAAGAGTAAGCTGGAATATTTTAGTAACATTGACAAGATTTTATTTGAAAAATAAACAAGAGAGTCATCTTTCAAAATCAACTGTGGGCAATTATACTACAAGAGCAATCATGGTTCTATCAATGAATCTGCAAAGTGCAGAAAGACAACCTCAAGTTAAGTAATGAAACAAACAATCTCATAGCCATAGCAGTCTTTTGACAGGATGAGGGGTTCCTGGTGAGGAGTAAGAGTTTACTAGTGATGGGCAAAACGAGGAAAACAGAAAAAAATGAAGGGCCTATGCCCAACTTCATTCCTCCTATTTTTACATGAGGGGCAACAGTTAAATTTTTTGCAAGCTTACCTGTTGAGATTGTAATCCTCTTCCCATTCTCCTTTCCCCACACCCCTCCAAAAAATGGAAGAGAAAGGCCAGCTATGTTAGTTGATCTGGTATTAGAAGAGAGCATTAATCCAGCTTTACATACAAAAAGCTACCTGTGGGGGATAAATTTATCCTGCCTAATCTAATCCAGTATCCAGCAACAGCAAATCATAAGAATCAGTAGCCAGATAGCGGATTTTATTAGGATAGAAGAAATTTATCCTACATTTGGTAACATTTAAATATCGAACTGGATTATTTGCCAGATTACACTACCTGAGAAGGGGTATAATTTATTTGGGATTACAATCTCACCGGGTAAGCTCCCCAAAAAGTCCTTTGTTCATCCTCAAGTATAATGGAGGTAAGAGCAAAAGCCAACTCACTCTCTTCCATCTTTTGTTATATTTTTCCTTTAGAATAGATTCATTACTCTCTTCTGTCTTTCTTCACCTGCTCCCCCTTTTATACTTCCTCTTCTTTAGGACAGGTCACCGGCAAACTGTCACTGAAGCAGGATAAAGTCATAAATCTATTCAAGCCTTCCTCATTTCTACCCAGGTTTGGAGGGATAAGATTCCTGAGATATCCGATTTTGTTTTTAAATATGTAGGATATCCCATTTATACCCATCCCCGAGTCCATTATCCAAGGCCCACGGAAGAAAGACATGCAATTATGCTCAACAAAGCCAACCAAAGGTGTAAATGACCTTTACTGACTGTCCACTCAATCACTTGGAGCAATGTTATAAGCTTAACGCCTTAACCAGTAAGCCCAAACTAGCAAAGAGTAAAGTCCAAGTCTTTATTATAGACTAACTAAACTTCCTCAAAGACCTTATAAAAGCTTTTTCACACAATCTTCCAACTTCATGATTAGGTATGACATTCTTTTCGACAGCCCAAAAGGCATGTTAGTCTATGTGAAACAAGATTAAAGGTTTTTATCTTACCAAATTTTTTGAAGGACTTGGGTAAGACATGTGGGAAAGGATTCTGACGGAAATCATATCCTTGACCTATTAACTGTATAATGCTTGTAAAAGTTATTTTATTTTCTTTAGCAACTGAGAAATCCCAGAGGGCAAGTGATGCACTGCTCAAACTCAGTGGATAATGGGCATGTCCCTCTACCATTCTCCACATAATGCTTATTAAACTAAATTAATACCCTTTAACTTCATAAACATGCTTAGCTTTCACAAGTAAAAAGAATCTAATGGATGAAAATGCAAGGACGACTTTAGAGCGCGTAAGAATATGAGACAATTCTCCAGTTCTCTTTTATCTTAACCTGAAGTAAGAATACTTACAGTGGAGCACGAAATGGTCTTTCACGACCTCCAAAACGAAGTTGCCCAGATTCCTTCTTTCCGCCAAGACCACCTCCTGTCAAATAGAATAATCTTGATAATAGGTTTAATAGCAAATTAAAACTTCAAGAAGACGGATATCAGACTAAAGAAACTAACCTAATCTTCTTGGAATCCAGCCTGACATTAACCTTTGCCTGTTGTAGTCCACTATTATTTCAGAATCATCAATAACCTTATGATGAGCATCCTGCAGTATGTGAATAACAAAATGAACAAGAGAGGCAATGAGTTTGGTAAATGAGAAATTGAACATAGATCAATTTAATTATTTGGGTATTTCAAGGACAATGACTCGTCTTCCTTATATAAACAGTTGGTATTTAAACAACTTTAAATCAACGTATCCACACAAATTAGTTAGACATAACAAATCACAGTCTTCAATAACCAGTTCCCAATCCTAGCAACCTCCTTCTCGTGATTAGGAAGGACTCTAGCTCCAACAAACCACATTAGATACAGTAGCCAAGTACATTTACATCCCTTTGGGTATTTCAGCAATTCAGAAGGGAGCAAAGAGCTGTTTAGTCTTAAAAATCTTGTACAGGTCACACTAAAGAAGGGTTAGGCGTAAGTATTTAATGCTGCTATTTCACATAACTAAGCTAACAGCTAGTACTGCAAGTCTTCTTGATCCTTCATTTTGATACTTAAAATTTCTCTATAGGTTTCTCTAGTACAATTACTCTACTTATTTTCCCAAGTATCCCCTGTATAGTCCATTAAAACAATGTACAAGCATCACACTATCTCCTGGTTGTGATATGCAGAAAAGATTGGCCAGCACCTAAAAAGATTCACAAAATGAGGAAATAAGTGTCACTATTAGTGAGATCATATTACCGTATATGCTCGTCGCATGTCTCTATCTGTTTCAAATTCAACAAATGCATAACCACGTGAGGCACCCGTTACTGCAAAAGTGAAGAGAATATGAGAGAATTTTACCTCCAAGTTGCTTCCATATCATATGCACTTCAATTCTTCAGAAAGTAAAATCTTTTCTTTTTGCAATAAGTGTCTATACCAGCATATTGTCAATGATTTCCAATATACACTAAACCTCACAACACAAAATCTGAAACACCACATAAACAAGTAATTTTGGAAGAAACAGTCATTACCAATGTGTCTAACAATTCTTAAGTTCTTCACCCTTCCATACTTGTTCATTTCCTGCAAATAAACACAACCCGAAATATATAATCAAATCAACAACACCAATTAGACAATAAGCAAACAACAAGAACAGCACAAGAGTAACAAAGAAAGGCAAAAAAAAAAAAGATACAACCTTTAAACCCAAACTAATACGAAAAAAAACCCAGATAAGTTAACAGCTTCTCAAGTTCAAAAAAAAAGAAAAACACAGAAAAGGTTACCTTTAGAAGAGTTTGTTCAGTGGTAAACTGAGACAAATGACCAACAAAGAGAGTAGAATAAGGATCACCAATAGCCTTTGGGTCACCAAAAGGGTCATCTGAAAAATGGGAAAAGAGGTGAAATTGGGAAGAATTAGGGGTGAAAAAAGAAGGGTTAAAGCTATGAAATCACTAACACAAGCCGGCATTAGAGCAAAGAAGAGCTCTGTAAATGGCGTTATCATGGGGAAGGATGTCAGTGCCATCGATACTTCCAGCTTGAATTGGATGGTATGATTCTGCATAAAATACTGAATTCAGATTGGCAGTAGACCTCCTTTCCTTCTGCTCTTCTCCAACCATTTTCAAGAAACTTCCGCAACCAAATTGACACACAATTGTACTTTTGGGGGATATTTGGAAATTTCAAATAGTTGGTAGTCCACATTGAATTTATCCAATTTTGTCCTCCTCTTTTCCATAATCTCAACTCAAGTTTATTTTTTATTTTTTTATTTTTTTTATATTATAAATAAGTCTTTCTTTTTTTATGTGGTGCATAAAAGATTATGATATATGTAGACAACATAAGGTTATTAAAAAACATAATACATAAATGTGTCATTTGATTTGTCTTATATCATCTAAATTTAGGTGTTCATAAGTAAATATTTAAACTTATTTAAACTTGAACAAATAGGCATATGTGTCCTACGTGATATAATACACGTAAGACGTGAATTGTCATGTATGACGTATGTGTCTTATCTACTTCTACACTCCTAAAATTGAAGAACGTAAATGTCAATTAATCGAAACCAAATTAAATAGTTATATATTATGTATTATGCAAAAAGAGGCTTGAACTCAATAACTAATTTAGAGTTTATTTGAGTTATAAGATGTGATCGAAATATTTAAGGGGAAATTGTGCATTATAGCAAATTATTAATTCAAAATAAATGTTGTAGCTATAGTTTTATTTAATTCCAATTCGTAGCAAACACATTGTCATTCTCGCCTCTCTCCCCTGAATCTCGCTCGCTACTCTCAATTCTCTCTCTCGCCTCTCTCACTTTTATACAAATGCAAATGTATAAATTGTGTTTGTGTTTGTATAAAGCTAGAGGACTATATATACAAATGCAAATACATATCTCTCCATCCTATACACTTATAATTATAGTAATACAGATCTACCCCTACCTAGTTCTCTATTGCCTTTCTCTCTCTCGCTTTATATAAACACAAATAATACAAATACGATGTACAATTTGTGTTTGTATAAAGCGAGAGAGATTAGATCTACAAATACAAATATTTTAACTCGATTCAATTATATACAGATTCAAATTTTATGCAGATATACAAACACAATCATTGATACATATTGTCACGACCCAAGCCTAGGGCCTAGACGTGACCGGCGAATGGGGAACCCGAAGGAACCCCAAACAAGCCTCATAGCGTATCATTACACATCCTTGGTCGCGGAAGCAATTAAAATGACCATAAGCAATAAGTATAATCAAAGGGGGAAATCGGGACTAAGGGAGCAAAAGAAAAAAAGAAGAACTGATATATAAATACCATAGATGAGTCAAGCTCAAGCATAATACACAACTTGTCCAACACCACATCTAAACATGAGTACTTAGTGGGGGCCAAGACAAACTACCGGGCTCACCCTCATAGTCAAAACATAACTAAAAAGAAAAAAAAAAGTCGTATACATAGCAAAAGATCATGAGCAACGTCCCCGGAATGGAGGACTCACCAATAACCTTGATAGAAAATCGTATTAGCCACGCGGAGGAGGATGGTCAAGCGGTGCTCCGGTCCCTACATGGTGACATCATGTAGGCATAGAGTATGCGTTAGTACGTTTGAATGTACTAAGTATATGGGATGCAATGCAATGCAACAAGGGATGGACATCATAGGCAAAATGCATAATCGTACCCGATAGATAGCATATTAATGAGATGATATGTATAATGATGCTTATATAAAAATCATATTTAGTAGGGCATAGTATATGTGTAGTGAGTGACCATCAATATAGTATTTCCAAGGCCTACCACCCCCTTGGAGAGGCGAAAGAGGTACAAACCCCTCAATGTGGTTACCCGGGCCTACCACCCCCCGAGCTAGGGACCAAGGTACAAACCCCTCGATATGGTTATACGGGCCTACTACCCCCCGTACTAGGCAACCAAGGTACCAACCCCTCGATACGGTTATACGGGCCTACTACCCCCCGTACTAGGCAACCAAGGTACCAACCCCTCGATACGGTTATACGGGCCTACTACCCCCCGTACTAGGCAACCAAGGTACCAACCCCTCGATACGGTTATACGGGCCTACTACCCCCCGTACTAGGCAACCAAGGTACCAACCCCTCGATACGGTTATACGGGCCTACTACCCCCCGTACTAGGCAACCAAGGTACCAACCCCTCGATACGGTTATACGGGCCTACTACCCCCCGTACTAGGCAACCAAGGTACCAACCCCTCGATACGGTTATACGGGCCTACTACCCCCCGTACTAGGCAACCAAGGTACCAACCCCTCGATACGGTTATACGGGCCTACTACCCCCCGTACTAGGCAACCAAGGTACCAACCCCTCGATACGGTTATACGGGCCTACTACCCCCCGTACTAGGCAACCAAGGTACCAACCCCTCGATACGGTTATACGGGCCTACTACCCCCCGTACTAGGCAACCAAGGTACCAACCCCTCGATACGGTTATACGGGCCTACTACCCCCCGTACTAGGCAACCAAGGTACCAACCCCTCGATACGGTTATACGGGCCTACTACCCCCCGTACTAGGCTTGGTCAACTCACAACACGTATATAGAGAAAATCATATACATGTGTCCATTTCATCATCATTTCAATAATTATATAACCATTCGATTCATAAGACGTACATTGGACCTTCCATTTCCTAAGGATTCTATAAATGCTAGGAAATAATATAAGTCATTTGGAAGAATAGTCCAACACTTAGAAAAAATAATGGGGCGGGTGAACAGTAAATCGGCTTACTGGAAATTGCACTTTTCTGCCGGAGAGGTTTTACGAAAATGGGCATAATTTTTTTGTCCGAACTCCGAATGAGGTGAAACGAAGTGCGTTAGGTAGCTAACTCAAAGGGCTTTCCATGGATATACAATTGTCCACCCAAATAATTTGTGTGCTAGGAGATATGACCCTCCAAAGTAGACCCTCGAAAAAGGCTTCACTTGGAAATTTCGGATTTTGATACGGTTGCTCTAAAATTTGGGTTAGACCCATTTCCCACTCAATTTGACCCCCTGAATAAGAATATGAAGTCGAATTTCCAAAATCATGCACGGATTTTGAGATATATGGAAATTACAATTATAGGTGTTTCCGAAGCACATTTTCGGGCATTTTTGGGGTCGTTTCACATATACATAGTAATTACATATATACAATTATCTAACCGATATACATACACAATTACCTCTCTGCCCTCTCTGACTCGCCTCTCTCCTCTCTCTCCTAATCTTGCTCGCCACTCTAGCCTAACACAAAAAACATATACATATACAAACACAATTTTCATAGACACAATCGTCCGATTTATACAAATCGCCGCGATTTTATACAAATCAAATATCTGTGATTTATACAAATCAGATGTTCCATAGCTATAGAGTGCTAATATAATTTTTATGTTTGCTATTCCAAAAATTCACTTATTTTAATTCTTAAGAGAGCTGAAAGGGATAAGTCAAAGCATCAATGATGAACTAGTGATGGACTTGATCTATATCTCTTTGTACCGCGAGATATAGATGTCTTAAATCAATAAAACAAAAAAATAGAAGAATTTGTTTCAATTGTACTTTTATTCAAAGGAAAACTACATAAGTAATCCCAAAATTTAGTTAAACGCCTTATTTTTTCAACTAAGGTTGTATTTTTTATCACTGAGTAATAGTCGTTAGGCCTATTTCATTTGAAATACTCATATAAGGGAAAAAATTGTCATTATTTTGATTTATTTAATCTTTTTCATCTCATTTAGATTTCAAACTCGATACTGAACAGGTAAACAAAAGAAATCCACGTTATTGAGAAAAAAACATCAAAACTTTCAAGATTACACACAATCTTAATGACATTAGGGATCTAACCCCAAAGGCAAAAGTGGTGAAAAAAACATGCAACAAAAAAAAACATATATGTATAAGCATCCATATTATTCATACATAAACTCTCATATCTAATCTATATTATATTACATTATTAATAACTGTATATATATGTGGATGCTTTTTTTCTTTTCCTTGCAACATATAGTCTTTGAAAATCTCTAAGGTTGAGCTTCATTTTCATTATAGGCTTTTGCTTCTGCAGCTGAGTAACAACATTGGTAGCAATTTCCATATCTATGACCACAACAACCATATCGGCACCCACCACCCCACCTGCCTCCCCAGCTGCCTCCACCACCTCCCCACCTGCCTCCCCAGCTGCCTCCACCACCGCCCCAACTGCCACCCCAACCACCACGTCCATCCCAACCGAATCCAAAACCACCACGTCCTCCACCCCAGCCGTAACCATCATCATCATCAGCCACTACAACACCTTCATCTGCAAATATATGAATTAGTTATACGTAGACATAGACCTAGAATTTTGAGTTGTTTATGTAAAATGATATTTTCTAAATGGACACTTATTATTTGAATAATATTTTCTTTCGTACCACGTACGGAATATATGAATTAGACAATATATGTTCAGAAATATATGCAAATGGAATAAGAAGATTTTTATTAATATTATCTAGCACTTCATAAGGTATACTATAGTTTATACACACCAAGTAAAAAGCTTATAGTATAATATCATATCATGCAAATAGAATGAGTCAATTTTTACGAAGATAATTAGCACTTTATAAAAATATATACATATGTGAGTACGTATGATTTGTAATTAGCACATAATAAACGTCCAACGAGGTCATCTAATCAAGTCAAAATTATCATTACTTGGAATTTAATTTGTATAAGTATACATGTTTGAGCTATATATTGTATAGTAATTATCTTATCATCAAAGAATCGTCTTTAATACGTGGAATTTGTATCTTGTAAGTAATTAATTATGATAAGTAACCTACCACGACACATAAAATGACTCGATGGTATAAAAATATAAAATATTACCTTTTTTTTCATCTTGAAATGTTTCAATAGCACTTACGTAATAGGATATGATGAGAAGAAGTAAAAGCAAAGGGAGAATACAAGTCTTAATTAGCTTCATTTTTTTTTGGATAAACAAAACTATGTATTGAGAAAGTTGAAACTGTGAGTAACATTTGCTATATTAACCACTTTTTATAGCAATGGAGTAGTAGTAGTAGTAATGTTACTATATGGAGAAAGAACCAAAATTTGCAATAAATGAGTTCAATATTTTCTCTTGCATGTATACATGCCCACATATGCAAATGTTGTTGGCTGTTGAGGATTTTGTATCTTTGCCAAAAAAAAAAAAAATCTTATCAAAACAAAGTTTTACTAGCCATTTAAAAAAAAAAAAAGAAGTTTTACTAGCTTTATCTTTTTCAAACTTTTTAATTTGGTCGCAATATGCGTACATACATAGCTACTATTTCGTCTGACTTGATATGGGGTATGTTAATTGATGGTCAAAAGTTAAATTTTCATAAAAAAAAAATTAAGATTTTGTACCCTTTTTAAATTTCTCTTTATAAACTTCAATGTTTTCTTGAAAAAAGATTAAGCATAATCCCTAACAACTAATTCAAAAAATATTATTTCATTATTTTGATATCCAAATTTATAAGAACATCATCAGAAATTGAGTGCTCTTTTGATATGAGAATCTTACGTCAAAACAAAATAAAAAAATGTTCAGTAATGAAAGTCAAACAATGAGGTATGCATAATTAATATCAACTTTGATCGATCAAATTACAAGATATGCTTCAAGGGAATTATACAGGTACAATACTTAAAAAATACCTTTCTAAATTTGACGCGTTTTATTTAGATCTCTATTTTCTGGTCTTAATTATCCTTATATATTAATCACTTTTTTATAATCGTTTCTTCCTCAAATAATAACTGATCCTAATTACATCTTATATTTGACTTTTCTATAATAGTTACCCTCTCAAAATAAGAAAATGGTAATTATTAATATTACTCTCCTATTAATTATTTTATTCTCCAATTTGATTAGTGTTACATGTTTTTTTTTCCTTTGCTTCAATAATCACATTAGTATTTGGTTGTTGGCTTGTTGCTATGACTCTCTTCTTCACTATTTTAATTTTACTATATGCTTTATATGAGCCAAGGGTCTATCCGAAACAACCTTGTCTCTTTATCTTCATGGGATATGAATAAAATTGTGTACGTCCTCTTTAGATCCTATTTATAAAATTACACTAAATATATTCCTTCAAGAGTTAGTATTGTTGGATCAGTGAAAATTTCTGATAAGTTTGAATCTTCTTAAAGAATACAAGAGGTTTTTCAATTAGGTAATTCACCTTACTTAAACACAAATATAATGTCTTTCAGAATAATGGTTCAAGGACAAATCCAAATGCACAATTATTTATTTGTCCAAATTATATTTCAAAAACCAACTACAAAAATTGAGTACAAACGTCACTTTTGCTTTTTTTTCCGGTGCGAATCCTAATTTAATTAGATCTCAATAAGAAAATTAGATAAAAAAAAAACAAAAATATTATTTTATATTACTTGACATAAAGTTTAAGAAATATAAGAAGATTTTCAAAATTGATGGTATAGAATAAATTTTAGATATTTGTGTGGGTATAAATCATTTCATCTAAAGATAATTTAAAAATATATTTTTTTTTAATTATAAAAAATTTAGATGAATATTTTTTTGAGACGGAGTTAAAAAAAAAGTATGTAGGTGTAGTAGATAATTAAGAGGTAAACAAAAGGAATTCACTTTATTCAAAACATAAGAGAAAACATCAAATTTACAACATACATCACATGCAAACTTGAGTTCTCAAAGCCATTATAGGGATCTAACCCTAATTAAGGCAAAACTAGTGAAACAAAACAAAACCCCCCATATATATTTTATATAATAAGCTAATTATTATTATTAGCATCCGTATTATTCCCACATAAACTCTCTCATAATTACTTTATTATTACATTAACGTAACTACGTACATGTGGATGCTTCTTCTTTTCATTTCAACATACTCTTAGTTATAAATTAAAACTTTCCCCCCCCCCCCCCCCCCCCCCCCCCCCCCCCCCCCCCCCCCCCCCCCCCCCCCCCCCCCCCCCCCCCCCCCCCCCCCCCCCCCCCCCCCCCCCCCCCCCCCCCCCCCCCCCCCCCCCCCCCCCCCCCCCCCCCCCCCCCCCCCCCCCCCCCCCCCCCCCCCCCCCCCCCCCCCCCCCCCCCCCCCCCCCCCCCCCCCCCCCCCCCCCCCCCCCCCCCCCCCCCCCCCCCCCCCCCCCCCCCCCCCCCCCCCCCCCCCCCCCCCCCCCCCCCCCCCCCCCCCCCCCCCCCCCCCCCCCCCCCCCCCCCCCCCCCCCCCCCCCCCCCCCCCCCCCCCCCCCCCCCCCCCCCCCCCCCCCCCCCCCCCCCCCCCCCCCCCCCCCCCCCCCCCCCCCCCCCCCCCCCCCCCCCCCCCCCCCCCCCCCCCCCCCCCCCCCCCCCCCCCCCCCCCCCCCCCCCCCCCCCCCCCCCCCCCCCCCCCCCCCCCCCCCCCCCCCCCCCCCCCCCCCCCCCCCCCCCCCCCCCCCCCCCCCCCCCCCCCCCCCCCCCCCCCCCCCCCCCCCCCCCCCCCCCCCCCCCCCCCCCCCCCCCCCCCCCCCCCCCCCCCCCCCCCCCCCCCCCCCCCCCCCCCCCCCCCCAGCCGTAACCATAACCATCCCCATCACCAACTTCTTCTGCAAATATATGACACAGAGTCGAAGTTAGAATTTTGAATTTATGAAAAGACAGTTTATTATGTTCTGAATAAATTATTTATGAAAAGAGTATTTGAGCGTTTTTTTTTTTTTAAATCTAGAGAGCTAGTGAAGAATATTTCATCGAAGAGATATATATTTATTAATTAAAGACTAATAATTAATATTAGCAAACTAGATAGTTAAAAAAATAACTTCTTTACATGAAAATATATTAATTACTTCCTTCATTTTAATTTATAATATGTTTGAATTTCGATAATTAAAAAGTTTGAATTAATTACGAGGGGTGCAACATTTCTGGCAACCACGTTTGCTATAACCGCCGCAGCAGCCATAATGACAATGTTCTCCGCCTCCCCAGCCGCCTCGGCCTCCGTGTCCGCCTCCGTTGTACTGGTTGCTGGCTTCTTTCACTTCATTAGCTGCAACAAATTAGATTAAAGAGTAATTAACTTTTTATTTTTTAATTAGCCTACTAATTTATATGTGAACATGAAATAATAACATTCAAAAGTATTACTATATATTATGCTAATAGAATGAAAATTAAGATTAGCACTTCATAATTAAGGTATACTAAATATATATAGTGAGTATAAGAATTGTTAATGATCACATAATAAATGTCCATCGAGGTATTTTTACCTAGCCATCAATTTAATTAAATATGAGTTTAAGTGATATACATTATTGGCATATATAAAAGATCACTAAAGAATATAGTATATATATATATATATATATATATTAATAAGAGTTCTTAAAAAATATGTGAAATTTGTCATTTGTGTCTTGTAAAATAATCATGATAAGTAATATGTTATAACACATAAAATGACTTGATGGTATATGAGAATATAAAGTTAGTTCTTACCTTTTTTTTCATCTTGAGATGTTTCAGTAGCAGTTACATAATAGGATATGAGAAGAAGTAAAAGCAAAGGGAGAATATAAGTCTTAAGCTTCATTTTTGGGGTTTAAACAAACAGTAATATGTATTGAGAAAGTTGGAATTGTGAGTAACATTTGCTATGTTAGCCTCTTTTTATAGTAAAATAATAGTAGTACGTAGTAAAGGGTATTATAATGGAGTTATGGAGAGAGGACCAAATATTGTAATAAATGTTTTCAATATTTTCTCTTGTATGCCCACATATGAAATGTTGTTGGCTGTTGAGGATTTTATGTGTATCCTTTCTAAAAAATATTTCAAAATCTTATCAAAGCTAATTAAATTTTACCATCTTCATCTTGTTCAATCCTTATCAATTTGGTTGCAATATGTGCATGTATATCAATTTTTATTTATTTATTTTTTGGTTTGGTCTGATGACTTGATTTGGAGCTATCACAACTGGGGTAGTTCAATGAAATTAATTGGTGACATGTAAGGGCGTGATCTAACGATTAATAAAGCAGACTTGGAACGACGTCACAAGTTAAAATGTTAGCTAAAACAAACACATTAAGTGATTTCTATTCATTTATTAAAGCATTGACAAGTCCCTCGTGAAATTAATCGATAGAGGTGTGTTCATGTTGATCCAAACACCACGATTGTGAAAAAATAATACTATAAAGCTAAATTTTAATTTATCAAATTATATTTAAAACTTATATTTTTATTCGTAATTTAGTTTATTAACTTTTAAAGATTTTGTACCTTTTTTTACTCGTCAAACTTCGATGTTTTCTTGAAAAAGATTTAAGTCATAGAACTAACTACTTACAAGGAGTAACAATATATATTGGACCAAGTGCAAAAATTATTTGTTTTCAGAAACCCTATGTAAATAACAATTACAAAGTTTAGTCATCTCACAAAGTTACAATTATTTTTCAACATATAGGGGTAAAGTTGAAATTATGGGTCTAAACTTTAAATAGTTCTTTAAAAAATAAATACTATATTTTAAACAGAGTGAAGACTGAGCAATATTCAATAACTTCAATCCTTATGATTTGCACTAAAGTGACTTAAATAGCCTTCAAGAAATCGATTCGGGTGAAATCCAATTTATATAGATCCAACTTTCATTTCTACAAATAATAATTGGCCCTCAAATTTAAAGATATACTAGCTTGGATCTTCAACTCTCGTATTTTCACAAAAGTAACATTCACCGATCACTTTTTCATAATATAAGTAGTTATTATCACGAAAATTTAAATTTTACATGTTAATTTTAACTAATTACATAAGCTGAAAAAATAAGTCAATATATAAAAAACTCCCACATGAAAAGAAGAAAAAAAAAAGTTCAGTTATAGTTGATCTCATCTCACTATATAAGTCAACTAATGAGGTATGCATATTAT